CTCTCTCTCTCTCTCTCTCTCTCTCTCTCTCTCTCTCTCTCTCTCTCTCTCTCTCTCTCTCTCTCTGTGTGTGTGTGTCGTCTTCGTCGTTGTCTTCCTGGCAGGAACGCGACACCTCCTCCCGCAGTGGAGCTATGGCGGACTGCTTCTTCACGGTGGCGCTCTTCAACTATGGCGCCCTATGGCTCGCGTCTCCCTCCTGCTACAACAGCGATGGCGCATGGAGTAGCGGGTACCAGCTCCGATACCAATGCAATCAGACTCGCCTTCTTTCACACTTCGCACGCATGTAAACAGGCAACACAGCAAACTGGCGCCAAGCGCCCACTCAAAACTCAGAGATATGGTAACCAAGAATGCAGTTCAGATACAAGCTCGCTTCAAATGGCTATGGCGCATCAGCACCTGTACAACACTGTGTTCGTCACTGCGCCACACTCTGCTGTTCACATACACTCAACTAGGATCACCCTGGATACCCGACACACCACACACTCTGTACGCTCGCACACCCGCACACATCTACAGCTATGGCAGCTATGGCCGCCTCTACCACTATGCTATAGCTACACTACTCTCCTTCAGCCCACTTCGACTTCAGGCGTGTCTGCAGACCACCCCGCACAAGTCCCTGTTGGCATACGCAGGAATGAATGAATGGCTGGTCGCTGCCTCTCAATTTATACTTCTGTAGCTCGTTGGTCTGGCCCTTTGCCATGCCCGTGGTGCACACAGTCCCGCACGGTACTTGCTGGACTGGACTAGGACTCACTGGGACTGGGACTGGGACTGCTGACTCAGCACGGGTAGACTCCACCACTTGCCCACTTGCCTCAGTCTAAACGTGGGCAACTTCGAAAGGCCACTGCTAGGACCTTTCGATACTGTAGCAGCTACGACCTTGACCCTTCTGGACTGTAGCAGCTACGACCTTGACCTTTTGGAAGCTCTACAGCTACGACTTCCAGAACTCCCTAAGATTTGTACTTGACAGACCTACAGATCGAACCCCTGCTACCTACGGCCCCTACAGCAGTCTACCAACTGTAACAAATACACAGGTCACGGGTTCAACTCTCGGGTCGACGCAGATACTGTACACAGGTAAGGTGGGAACTAGGGATCGAGCCCTGGGATCTGCATCCGCTACTGCTAAAGGTGAAAACCGTTTCACTACCAAGTCACTAGAATATGTGTGTCAGAAAGCCTCCCAACCACGAATCAGATAGGTGAAACCTATTCAATCCACCTACGACCACCACCAACATAGGTTTCACCTATCTGATTCGTGATTGGGAGACTTTCTGACACACATATTCTAGTGACTTGGTAGAATCTGAATAGGGGAAAATAGGTCGGTTGGTCTTATGAATGTCTTAGGACTCTAGGGACTCTTAGCAACCCATCTTAGGCGGTTTTGAAGCTGTTATACTCAGTGATCTGCGGCTGTTCGATGCCAGAACGACGCTGGCCGGTGCTGGGGTGTTGGCCTGTAACCTGCTGATGCAGGAGCGCGAGGCCTGGTAGAGAGATCTGGGTCTGAAGTCTGTCTTAGTAATTTTCTAAATTGCTCAGAAATTTCTTAGCTGTAGCCGGGTAATGGCCCCGGTGTCTCAAACTTTCAAATTCTCTGTATAGGCACACAGCATTTGGGAGCGGAGACTACGCTGCTGGAGGAGCGCTGGATTGTAGAGGAGTTAAGCAAGAGGTAGTGGAACTAGGTGCAGGGGGGAGGCCAGGAGTGTGGAGAGTTACCTGCCGACTCATCTTGGGGGCCATCGCTGGAGAATCATCTTCAGGTCGCTCCACCTGCATCACAACTCAATGCAACACCTTTACGCTGGTCAGTATCCGGCTCTCAGAGAGAGAGAGAGAGAGAGAGAGAGAGAGAGAGAGAGAGAGAGAGAGAGAGAGAGAGAGAGAGAGAGAGAGAGAGAGAGAGAGAGAGAG